AACTAGACAGCTCTGCTGAAAGTGATTTGCCCAAATCTCAGGCAGATCAGGATTAAAGCCCTGAGCACATGACAGCCATTCCTACCGTTTCAGTACAGTGATATTCCCAGCACTAAAGGACTTGCTGTTGTGTAGAGCTGCATATAGTCAGGGATTCCTTCCAACATGATATCCACTGCAACAGACCAGGAAGGGGTAATGTTCTAGTATTTGTCACCCTCAATCTCATCAGCCAGCCTCTTACCCAGTCTCTCCTTAATGAAGTCTCATTTTCCTCAGCAAATAAAGTTGCCTTCCACACTATCACTCCATCAACTTGCACCCACCTGAAATACTGTCCTGTCACAGAGTCTAGCTCCTCTGCTACTGCACAGTAGATACTGGTCTGAGCTCCTTCCCAAGGTGTCTTCAAGAAGAATGAGAATATATTCCACAGCCATGTCATTACAAATGAATGCCGGACCAGCTCAGAATGGACAGAACCAGGATGGAGCGCGTTTGCTGTGACTTTAGTGCCTGTGGCAAAAGAAAGTAGTCCAGAACAAATCTGCATGAATCAAATTACCTTAAAATATATAAAAAGGTAATATATTCCTCAATTCCACCTGCAGACAACCTAAAGGAGGAGTCCAGGCATGGATACAGGGATAGTAAGTGAAGTGCTCTGTAGTTACTACTCAGTAGATGTGATGGATGCATTTGACCCCTTAACGAAACCAGCGGTAGTTTTGTACAGGCTCCAAAGGAGGTAACGGCCTGAGTTGTAGCCAAGCCAAGAACTCCTCTAGGAAACCCATGAAGAAACAGTGACACAGTGAGCATTGAGGCATATAAACTTGGAACACCCATCATGGGATTAACACATGAATAGAGCGGGGCTTTTCCAAGACTTATTGTCCTGGGCTTAAACTACTCGTTTATCAAGGAACAAAGGTACACTCTGCTCTCCTCTGGGACTTGCCTTGCAGCCGCCTCGCCAGCTCCCGGGTGAAGAGCACATTGGCCAGTTTGCTGTGACAGTAGGCGAGGCCGCGGTTGTAGCACTTCTCACCATGGAGATCATGGAAGCGGATTCGGCCACCATGATGAGCGAGTGAGGACACGTTCACTATGCGGGCTGGGGCAGACTGCTTCAGACGCTCCAGCAGTAGGAAGGTCAAGAGAAAATGACCTAGGGGTGAGAGAAAATGTCATCCTTCTCTAAACGTTTCTCCTGCTGGAATTTTGAAGTACTCATGACATATTATTTACATGTTGTATCTTATTGCTGCCCTCATTTCAAGTCCAGGGGAAAGACAACCCCCCTGAATCAACAGCTAAACTTTTTTGGGGCCAATAAGTTCTGCTCCTCAGCTTCAAAAAGCTAGTGCAGTCATACGTTTCAAATGTCCCAGGTAACATACAGACACTTAAGCTGGGTGCATGCAAATACATTGCATTGCATCTCCAGAACTCTGACTCTGGCCTTCCATCTTTCCCCAAGAAGCAAGGTTGAGGAAGAGAAAATGTAAAAGCAGAATTTCCTCTGCTATTCTGCCACAGACCTTGAATGCAAACAAGACTCCACTGGCCTTACCAAGATGATTCACTCCCAGGTGCATCTCAAAGCCATCAGCAGTCTTGGAGTAAGGGCATAACATTACCCCAGCATTGTTAATGAGAATATGGAGTTCCTTCTCCTCTGCAAGAAATGACATTCTTAAACAGGGAAACAGAGACCAGAGACAGACAAGAGGATGACACAAGTCAGCCAAAAAACCTCACACCTGTCTTGAGTTGCAGCTACAGCACCACAATAAAATGATAAGGCTCCCACCACAAACTAGCGCATAGTCTGTCAAGCCCCTGCTGTGAACTGCGGTACCCAATGCAGTACAGAGATATGCAGGTCAGGGACTTGGCATCTGCTAGAAGAGCAGACAGCAGTCCTTGGTAAAATAGTCTCACTGAAAAGAAGGATCTAGAGACTGTACCTGCTAGAAATTTCTCAGCAAACTCCCGGATGGATTTTGTATCAGCCAAGTCCAGTTTTTTCACAATGACTTCCTGGTTCCCTGTCTCAGCTCGGATTTCACTGGCTGCAGCTTCTGCCTTCCTAATGTCTCTGCAAGCGACAATCACCCTTGCTCCTGCAAGGGGGGTAAAAAAACAGGAACAGAAGCTGAGATCACTGGAGCACACTGGATGATGGAGGCTAAGATAAGCTGGCTACGCGCAGTGCTTACAAACAATGTGTTGTCTATTTAGGGCATTGGCATCAGTCAAGGGAGCAGCAGTGAGAGACAAAGCCTTTTCTGCTATACTATTAGCTTCCACCCAGCTCCAAACTGTTTTCAGAACAGGAAAATGGCACATCTGGAGTGCCTCTGCCCAGGCACTCCAACATCAGGAGCAGGTACCACCACACTGGTATGGTACGGTTGTATCTGCCCCTATAACAGGAATGCCAAGCCAAGAGCATAAGAAGATACTTGGATTCCAGCCAGAGTAACTTCTAAACAGATTATGAACAGGAAGTTTAATCTCCTTACCAGTCACCCAGAAAGCATGTATACCAAAATAGCTTGAAACATGAATAACTAAAGCACACAGCAGTGGACCTAGGGCATTTCCCAGCCTCATGCAAACAGAATACAGTGATGCTGGCATCTTCCCCAGTCCTCTCAAAACATCTGCAGTGCAGAGCATTTTCATGTCACAAGGAATACTTTTGGAGTTCAAGTAATGAAAACAGCCAGGGAACTGGGGACTTGCACCTTGGTGGTCACAACCTCTGGAGGAGCAACACTCAGGCTTGTCTGAAGTAACTTTGGATTCCAATGTTAGCACAAAACTCCTCCCTTAGATCTCAAAGAGGCACTAGTAACACCCAGGTGCACGGCCATCAGCTGCACGTGGATGCCCACTTGGTAACTGGGGACTTGCCTCTTCGTGCGAGGTCTCTGGCAGTCTCCTTCCCGATGCCTGTGTTGGCTCCTGTGATTACCACCACCTTCCCGTCCAGCTTAGCTGTTGACTTACACTGTCCTCCGGCGACATACCTCCTGCAATAAAGGGCAGCAGCCCCCCCTCGACGAGGGGACCAGGGGATGTGGGTCAGTGATGAGCACCCAGAGCCCCACGTTTCACCCCAACGGTAGGATTAACCGGGAAGCCACAGTCGTCGTTACGTGAAGTGGCCGATCACGATCGTGCCGTGCCCGGGCTACCAGGATCTAGCCCCCAGACCCCCTCCCCGCTCTACAAACAGGACCGTGACTCGGCCCGGCCCCGCCGCCCCGCCCTGGCGACAAGTGGGGCCACGGCTCCCATTGGCTGCCGCCACCGACTCCGGAGCCTGGGCCCAATGGGCTCTGCCGCGCAGAGGTGAGCAGGCGGCGGGCTCCACCCCCGGGGTCCCCGGCACCCCGTCCGATTTCCTCGCACCCGTCCGGGTCCGCGGGCCGAGGCAGGCCCCAGAGTGAGTTCCGGGCGGCTCGGAGGCCCGGGAAACCACCGAAGCAGGCGCTGCCGGCGGTGGCAGGGCTGAGCCGAGCCCCAGCTCCTGCCTCGAGCGCGTTAGTGCTACTGAGGAGCTGGAGCTGCGGACGCGTGAATAGAGCCTGCCGCAGCGCGGGCTACAGAAACGGGATCCGTTAGTACTCGTCACACAAGCACGCAGGTAGACCTGATCGCCGTGCGGTGCGGCGGGGTGCCCGTGGCTACCAGCGCAAGCGTGAAGGGCTAGGGCCGCGCTCTGTAAAACAAACCTGATGTAGGGCGCTGCCACGAGGAAGAGGACGGGGACGGAGACGACAGCCCCCAGCGCCGCTCCCCAGCATGGGGCCATCCCCACCACCCGCTCCATGCTCACTGCTGGCGCTGGCGGCAACCCCGGGCCCGCCCCAGTCCCCTGGGCCACGCCCCTGTCGCTTGGGCCCGCCCCGCCAGCAGCCGGCAGCCCCTCAGAGCATCTCCGCAGCGGCCCCTTGTGGCCCCGGCGTGGCCTGTTCTTTGACCAGCGGGGCAGCTGCTCCAGGGTCTTCTCGCACCGGACACCCCGCGGCTCCCGCTGCCTGCCGCGGGTGTGCCCCCGCCGGGAGAAGGAGGGCGGCCGGTTCTACAGCACAGGCTGAGAAAGTTGGAGCTGTTCAGCCTGGAGAAGAGAAGGCTGCGTGGAGACCTCATAGCAGCCTGCCAGTGTCTGAAGGGGGCCTACAGGGATGCTGGGGAGGGACTCTTCATTAGGGACTGTAGTGATAGGACAAGGGGTAACGGGTTACAACTTAAACAGGGGAAGTTTAGATTAGATATAAGGAGGAAATTCTTTCCTGTTAGGGTGGTGAGGCACTGGAATGGGTTGCCCAGGGAGGTTGTGAATGCTCCATCCCTGGTGGTGTTCAAGGCCAGGTTGGACAGAGCCTTGGGTGACATGGTTTAGTGTGAGGTGTCCCTGCCTATGGCAGGGGGGTTGGAACTAGATGATCTTAAGGTCCTTTCCAACCCTAACTATCCTATGATTCTGCCGAGGAGCCTGCTGCTTTTTTATCCCCGGGCAGCGCAGGACCCTCGGGACAACCCAGGAGTGCCGCTCTAATTGCGCTGCCCAGTTCATAGGCGGAGAAGTCTCTGAAGAGAAAGGGCGGGGGCGGCGGTCCGGGGGGACATTCCACATAGGTTTGCACAGCCTCTCGTCGGGGTTTGTGACACTAACCCTAACAAAACGCATGAAACGATGCACACGTTAGTACGCATTGAGGGCCGGGGACACGCGGCGGTAGGTCCAGCCGCGCTCGCTCTCATCGTCCCCAGAGAACACTAGAAGCAGGAGGCCAGGGGTAGTGAGCCGCGCTGCTCCCTGCGCTCCGCCGCCTCGCAGGGGAGACTACATCTCCCAGCAGGCAGTGCGCGCCTCGAGGCCCCTTCCTCGCGGTAGGCTAGGACGGCGCCTGCCGCTCTCGGGCGCCGGCGAATATTGTCTCCCTCAGCCGTGCTGCAGTTCCCGGCTCCCGCAGGGAGGAGGCCGCGGCGGGTTGTGAACCTTCCGACGGCGTCGCCAGGCGGTTTTGCGGTCGGGCGGTGTTCGGGGCGGCCATGGGGAGGCCCCAGCTGCCGCCGATGGCGGAAGTGCCTCGCGAGGGAGCGGGGTTGTGAAGGGGTAGGGGGTGGTAGCAGCCGTAGCAGGGCGGGAGGTGGCTGTCTGCTATGGCGGGCCGCGGCCCCGGCTCCTCGGAGCACCTGGAGCGGCTGCACGAGATCTTCAGGGGGTTGCATGGAGACCTGCGGGGCGTCCCCGAGCGGCTGCGGGGCAGCGCGGCCGGTGAGGCAGGGGGATATGCGGCGGGCTGGGCTCTACCGGGTGCGGTGGCGCGGGGACCGGACCGGCCGCTGTCTCCCTCCCTGTTGCTGGGGTCTGCCGCGGCAGGGTCTGGAAGTGCCTCCCCTCTTTGCTCCCTGGCTGGCACTTCCCCGCTGGCTGCCCCACGGGTAGCTGGGGCTGTTGGCAAGGCCGGTGCAGGGGCGTTTGGGATGTTTCCACATGGATAGTCTTGGGTTTACAGCCCAGAGGGCAAAGTCTCTGTAAGAAATGTGGGAGCGGGGGAGAGTTTGCCAAAGCAGTTGCAGGAATTCAGTGTGTCTTTGGACACCTCTTTGGCAGGGGCAGTTAGCTTTGCTGAGGCTGGGTTCCTTGTGTGTTATTTTTCAGTTGATGTTAAATTCTGGTAGCTTTGCTCTTGAGTATTAGGCATGGTCATGCAAAGCCCTAAGTAGGAAAGTAGAGAGGCAGGTGTGCTGCTTTATTTCTCTGGAGCTGCTCCTATTATTTGACAAATTTCAGTGCTGGATGTTTAGTTTCAGCCTCAGCTCTGAGGAGGAGTCGTTATTTGGCTGTCACTTCATGCTGTTTCTAGGTGAGATGCCTAAATTGCAGTGCATTGGTTGGTCACTGTTGGACTCTTCTTTAAGACCTCACCAGCAGAATTAAAAGCAGTTTTTATTGGCACAATCAGTTGTAGACTCACTGGATAAGATTTGTATTTTAAATTGCCATTTTAAAAGTCTGGTTTGTGCTCTGCCTACTCACAGATTAGAAAACACTATCTGTCAAGCTACACAAAGTTATATTGGAAGCAAACCCTGATTTTACAATTATTCTTTGTACCATGTAGTAGGTAAAACAGGGACAGAATACTTATGTGTAGGACTTGACATTGTGCTTCCAATTAACTTCTTGATATTGACAGTATTCTGAGAAACAGAAAGGGGAGACATCTGACAAGGAGAATTTTACCAATGTCACCAGATCTACTTCCTTCATATGAGAAAAATGATACACTCTTATCATGAGCCACTGTAGTTAAGCTTGGGGCTTGTACCACAAGAATGAATAGGGGATCTCAGCCACCTTCTGAACCTTGTCTTGTCATTCTTCCATAACTGATCAATTTTATGTGTTTAGGTGTAAAATCATAGAAATGGCTTGTTCAGCATATGCTGGCCTGTGGCAAATTACACAGGCTTCAAAAAGTTTAATGCTCCATTTCTTACCTGGCTTTCCAGTTAATAATGAGTTACATTCCGGATCACGGACCACTTCATCAGCATATCCGGAAAGCTTGGACAAGAAAGATGTTCAAACCTGCAAATGACAACTTTGAAACCTTTCACAGGCAGTCAACAGGAATAAAAAGCATAAAAGAAAAAATACCCTTTCTTCTAGGTAATGCTTGTTTCCTTGCAGAGTGAAGAGTGGTCAGTTTCTTAGTGAAGGAAAGTTTTGTCACGTCTCCATGGAGCTGGGAAGTCCTGAGCAATGAATTCTGAGAAATGGACTTAAATGGGGCAGTTAAAGGCAGCAATTTTTGCAATGCTTGCAGATATTTTAATGCTTTAATATTTTAATGCTTGTAGGTATTTAATCATGGCAGTCGGGTGAAGTTCCCGACGACTGGAAAAAGGGAAATATAACCCCCATTTTCAAGAAGGGGAAAATGGATGACCCGGGGAATTACAGACCAGTCAGTCTCACCTCTGTGCCTGGCAAAATCTTGGAGCAGATTCTCCTGGAAGGCATGCTGAGGCACATGAAAATCAACAAGGTGCTTGGTGACAGCCAGCATGGCTTCACTAAGGGGAAATCCTGCCTGACCAATTTGGTGGCCTTCTGTGATGGGGCTACAGAACTGATGGATAGGGGTAGAGCAGTTGATGTCATCTACCTGGATTTGTGCAAAGCGTTCAACATTGTCCCACACGACATCCTTGTCTCTAAATTGGAGAGACATCAATTTGATGGATGGACCACTCAGTGGATAAAGAACTGGCTGGATGGCCGCATGCAAAGAGTTGTGGTCAATGGCTCAGTGTCCAGCTGGAGACCAGTAACGAGTGGTGAGTGGTGTCCCTCAGGGATCGGTGTTAGGACTGGTCTTGTTCAACATCTTTGTTGGTGACATGGACAGTGGGATTGAATGCGCCCTCAGCAAGTTTGCCAATGACACCAAGCTGTGTGGTTCGGTTGATACCCTGGAGGGAAGGAATGCCATCCAGAGGGACCTTGACATATTGTGAGGTGGGCTGATGCCAACCTCATGAGGTTTAACCATGCCAAGTGCAAGGTCCTACACCTGAGTCGGAGCAATCCCAGGCACAGCTACAGGTTGGTCAGAGAAGAGATTCAGAGAAGCCCTGTGGAGAAGGACTTGGGGGTGTTGGTCGATGAGAAACTTAAGCTGGCGTCAGTGTGCACCTGCAGCCCAGAAAGCCAACCATATCCTGGGCTGCATCAAAAGGAGTGTGACCAGCAGGTCGAAGGAGGTTATCCTGCCCCTCTACTCTGCTCTTGTGAGACCTCACCTGGAGTATTGTGTGCAGTTCTGGTGTCTTCAACGTAAAAAGGACACGGAACTGTTGGATCAAGTCCAGAGGAGGGCCACAAGGATGATGTGGAGGCTGGAGCACCTCCTGTATGAAGATAGGCTGAGAAAGCCTGTAGAAAAGAAGGCTGCTTGGAGCTGCATGGAGGCTGCTGGCCTTTCAGTATCTGAAGGGGGCCTATAGGGATGCTGGGGAGGGACTCTTCATTCGGGACTGTAGTGGTAGGACAAGGGGTAACAGGTTAAAACTTACACAGGGGAAGTTTAGATTGGATATAAGGAGGAAATTCTTTCCTGTTAGGGTGGTGAGGCACTGGAATGGGTTGCCCAGGGAAGCTGTGAATGCTCCATCCCTGGCGGTGTTCAGGGCTGGGTTGGACAAAGCCTTGGGTGACATGGTTTACTGTGAGGTGTCCCTGCCTATGGCAGGGGGATTGGACCTTGATGATCTTAAGGTCCTTTCCAACCGTAGCTGTTCTATGATTCTAAGAGTCTATATTTTGTTTTGTCTTAACATGACAAATAATTCCAAACTGACTTTTCAGACATGCTGCGACACTTTAACACGATTGTTCTGGTTTTTAAATTTGTTGTTGCAAACATCTGGTAATATTTCTGGAAAGTATTTCTAGGATAATTCAAGATAAGTCAGGAATCTGTCTGGTGGAGGTGTTACACTTGCCTTTTTTTGTTTGCTGCTTGTACTTATGGGGAAGGATTCGTTTTTCAAGTTACCTAATCCTGAAAACTTCAGGAAGTAATGAAAGATGCTTTGCATGCTCTTTTAAGGTGATTTGCATTCTTCCAGACTTGAGAGGAGACAGAATCTGCTACGGACCTTGGGACATCTTTGAGGGGCAGAGATTTGAAAATGGTCTTTTGCTCCATATAAACAAGATAAAAAAATCCTTGCTCTAGAAACTTTTTTTTTTTTTCTCTGCCAAGTTTGTAAGAAGGCATTTCAAACAGGATCAGTTTCAAATATCATTTCCTCCAAGTTAATTCATTTAGCTGTATTTTTCAGTTGTTTCTAGCTGTTTATAATTTAATGGAAATAAATCAGTTAAATGTTAGTGAGCATGTGGGTAATGTTATTGTGGCTTAGGTGCCTTTTACTTCTACTGCATTAAAGTTCTCTTGATGTACTTCAAGTCACAGTTTAATCTATATTAATATGAATTAAACTGCTCAATAGTTTCTGGCATTTCTGTTAGGCCAGACGCAGTGTAATGCTTTCAAGCCACGTTGCCTGGTCTCTTGTTGTCGTATAGACAAAAATGTCTCAAGCCATTGCCACTTGACTTTTGTCAACTAGCGTTCCTTTGGCTGGTAAATGCAGTGTTCTTAAGCCGCCTGGGGGACACAGAGGAGGTAAAATGCTGCTTTTTCACTCCTGCCCCGGGTTTCAATTAGTTCAAGGCAGCAGTTTGGAGAGGGCACTACTTAAATCGGGTTAGTGAAATTACCTGTGTGAAACGAAATACTGACTTCTGAAGGCTGTTTACCTGCAGTTCAGGTCCATGATTTCACTTGCAACCCAGCTACAAAAATAATTATGTTGGCACAGATGTATATGGTGGCAAATCATGGGAGAAGTTGAGGAGACTGGGGTTTTTTTTAGGAACAGTCTGAGATGTGAAACTACATTTCCTGACACCAGTTAGTGTGTGATACACTAACAGTCACAATGTAGCTTAGTCTGCAACAGTTCTGTGCACTTCTGGAGAGCATAGGTGATTTTTAATTCTGCCTTAAGTTCCCAGTTCAAATTCTGGGGCTTCTTAAGAATTTGGACTGAATAGGAAACCTACAGCATGTCATGGATAAGAGAGGAGCTGTGTAAAAATGTTTCTGATCCCGTCAAGTCCTTTCGCTGTTCTCCATTGGGAGCTCAGTGGTTTAAGAACCACTTCTCTTTTTGCAGAGGACATATTTACAAAAGGGTGTTGTCAAGTTGGGTTTTTGCTGCAACGATGTTTTCATGTTTTTCAACCTGCAATTCTGCCAGTGGAGATTGGAGGGTAATAGCTCAAGAAAATATTTCAGGTTTGGAAAATGACTTCTTATGTGTACCAGAGATAGTGGCCAGTGTTTGGAAGAGAGGTTTCTGCTTTCTCCCCCCACTCCCTGCTGGAAAGTTGTCATAAGAACAGGGTGTTCCTGTTTGAAGTAAATTTTGACCTGAGATCTCTGTAATCAGCCGTCTGTGGCAGCTGCCTTGTCTGCAGTGGATTGAGTTGGAGATCTGTTGTGATTTCTCTGACGTGCTACTTTTTCCTTCACAGAGGAGAAGAAAAAACTGGTTCGAGAGTTTGATGAGAAACAGCGTGAAGCAAATGAAACGGTAAATACCAGTTGAGGCTCCTGCCCTTCCTGGCCACCTGAAATGTTGCCGCCTCACAAAGGACACTACTTCCAGATTTTACTTTCTTTATGGATCATATTATGACAGGCGGATGTTGTATTTTTTTAATGCTTGATTAATTGATCTTATAGGTGTGTCTGTGTTTGTCAAGGCAGTTGCCTGTATCTGTATATTGATAGATATGAGTACTCCTTCATGCCTTTCTTTCAGTGCTCGGTTTGGATATCAGAGTGGATATTGGAGAGTGGATATTGGAGAGTGACAGAGGTGGAATTAAAATTGATAGAGATTGGAGGGGGGCATGTAGAGAATCTGCTGCCTTTTTTCTTTTTCCCTTCTGTCTTTCTTCATGTTGGTATAAACCCATTTGATCTCTCTATAATAGTCTGATAGTTAATATCAGGGACCTTGAATATTTAAAATCTCTATAATATCGACTTTCTGGGCCACAAGAGACATGGAACAGCACAAAAAAACCCAACATGTGACTTGTCTTTTTAAGCAAGACATTGTGGTTTAATTTTTGTTTTCATGTTAGTGTGTTTTTGTGTTTTTGAGTCACAGCTGAACATGATGCTCTATTGCTCTAACTTATTGGGTTTTGTTGACAGGTGTCTGTGTAGGTGATGTGCAAGATGCTGAGCTCATACTGTGAGGGCTGGTACTGGTGGGCAGCTTTAACCATTGTGACTTTGTGATTTAACTGTCACTAAAAGGTGATGTGAAAATTCACACATCCAGAATCCCAGGGTTTACAAATCCCAACTCCCATTGCCAGGCTGGAGACTGAGTGTGAATTTAGTGCCATGCCTGCCTCTGCAGTAATAGATCTCTACTGCATAGAGACAGTAAGAAACTAATACCCAGTCTATAGATGCATAAACTATATGAAAGTGAGAACTGGAAATTCTGAAGTTATAGAGTGACTTTTCAGGTAGAAATCACACATTTGAGCCTGGCAAAGAATTTTTTTTTTAAATTTTAAGCATTGTGCATCGGAAAATCCATGTGGGCTGAACAGTGCTGGGCAGAGACATTGGTGTACTCGATACTAGATGAGGGGTATATATGGGTTTGGGGTTAATCCCCCTTGCACAATCACATAAAAAATGTGAATCCCTTCACCTGATGGTGAGTTTTGAGGATCGCTGCTGTGAAGAATAGATCTGGTGCTTTAAAAACTGAACACATTTTCTTCTGTTAAAGCTACGGGAAATGGAGGAAGAGCTGAAGTTTGCTCCTCTGCCATTCCACAACCAAATGATGAGCAAAATCCGGGCCTACAGGAGAGACCTCTCCATGTTCCAGAGAGAGATGAGAAGCACAGATTTGGGGCTGGGCTCTGGAAGTCAAGGCGATATGAGATATGGAATCTTCTCCACAGAAAATGAACAGAGTGTGAGAATTACATATAAATTTTACTTAACATTGCTGTGCTTGTAAAAAAAAAAAAAATTCTAGAGGTATCATTTAGAGTGTTTCTGCTTCAGTCTACTTAGTTTCTGTGCTTGTATAACTCCCTGCATAAATCTGTGCACATAACACGAATATCTCGAGGAGGAGAAGGAACACCTGGAGCTCAACAGGAGAGATTTTCTGTTCTAAAACAAAGATAGGAGTAGAATCAAAATGGAGCTCCTTGAATGCCATGTGGTTAGTAAGTTACATAATACTGTGTACTGAGGTGCTTCATTTAATCATTCCCCTAGAATAGTGAGAAGTGATGCCATGAACTCAGAAGAAAGTTGAACTGATCTACTTTTAGTCTCCAAAACTAGCGAAGTGTGTGAATCATGCACTGTATGGGTTCTCTGGTAGATTTCTCTTTTAAGCAATCTCAGTGGAAATAATTCCAAGAACATATAAGAAGTCATGCTCTAGCACTTTTTTCCCTATGGATATGTTGCTACAGTGCAAGAAATAAACCAATTTATTTGTGTACCAGGTATGCTTAGATATGTCTGAGCTAGTGAGACTAAATTGACTTTTATCATCAGAGTGGTGTCACCTGTACAGCAAGTTCGTGTAGGTGGGCATCTTTTTTGCCTGCCTTAGATAAGGAAGGCTTGAGGGAAATTCTCTCCTTGGTACCTTGTTCTGCAGTACCTTGGTTTTTGGTTCCTCTTAAACCCTGAGAGCAGAGTGGTAGTTTAGACTTTCTGAAGCTTAAGAAAATGCTTTATTTTGAGCTACCTTTTGGCCCTGAGGTCAGCAAACATTTCTTAAGCTCGTGCCAGCAACCTTAGCTAGAGAAGAGGATCTTTGTTACTTAGCAGTCCATCTGTTACTACTGTTTGTTCCTAATCCTTTTGACTGTGAACTCTTAATGATCTCCTGGGCAACCAACTCAGTCAGTCACAAATAAGGCTGAATTTAGATATGAATGGAAGGAAAGTTAACATCTGGAAAGCAAAGATACTATTTTCATGTAGATGTGCTTTGATGGAAAAGTAAATAGTTGCAAAGGCAATTTTTCAAGGTTTACCAAATTTACCGTAATCTTAGAACATGAACAAGAACTCTTTCAAAATCAACTGGGCTACTTGAGTTAACATCAGAAGTACATACAGCTAACACAAACGGATGGCCTAAGGAGTCACATCCTAACTTCTTAATATGTCCGAAGCCTATTGCCTCTGTCTTTGTGCTCAAGTTAAGCATATGTTGTTTTTCAGACTAATCTACAGTCACAGAGAGTGCTGCTGCTCCAGGGAACGGACAGCCTGAACCGGGCCAGTCAGAGCATTGAGCGCTCACACCGAATTGCTGCTGAAACAGATCAGATTGGCACTGATATAATCGAAGAACTTGGGGAGCAGCGGGAGCAACTGGAACGCACCAGGAGCAGAGTAAGCAGAGAAACTGTGGGCTTTGTATCCAGTGTTAGTCTAGTGGGAACCATGTGTCAGTCATCACTCTCAAAGACCTCTGTAGCAGTGGTAATCCAACTGTTGTTTCTACAGACCAAATCTGTCTGCCACCTTTCTGTGCTGTGCTCATAAAATTATCACTGTAGAAGGGCCCAAAATACGATGGTGGCCATTGTGAAATCTTACCCAGAGACCTCCAGGGGCCATGCCTCATGAATCTAGACTCTGTGAGACAACAGCTTTTTTAGTTGTCTGTAATCTTACTTAGTTTTGTGCTTCTTAATAGCTGAGAAATACCTGACAGTTCATTTCTGAACATTACAAAGCTGAAATGGATTATTTACTAACAGTTCAGAGCTCATAGCTGCTAGGTCGTAGACAACGTGGTTCCTTCTTTGCTAGGAATTGAACAGTATTTCAGAAGGTTCCAGATACGTACAGGGGAGAGCACCTCAGTATTGTTTTCTCCTGATGTCAAGAACTAGAATAATGAAATGAAATCCAATGAAAGCAGCTTTCCAGCCAACTTCCTGGTGTTTGTAGATGAACTTAAAAGGGCAGAAAGTGACCCCAAATTGCATGTCTGTCTTTGTATGCATATAAGGGAAAGTACACATGAAAGTCTTTATTTCCCCCTGAGAAAAGAGACAATGCTTCCAGCTTGTATTGTGTAGAGAACAGTGTTGTCTGAATTTTAAGAATGTCTGGTAAGCTTTAGTCCCATTATTAATGGCAATATTTCAGCACCAGCTACTTCCAGGTGCAGATTTACAGTTGCTGTGCACTTGTTTGACAGGTAACTTTTGCTTATTTTTAGTTGGTGAATACAAGTGAGAACTTGAGCAAGAGCCGCAAGATTCTACGTTCCATGTCCAGGAGGTGAGTTCTGTGGCTGACTTAGAGCAGCACTTGGCTGTGGCATTGCTGCCTGCCGCTTTCAGGCAAAAAATAGAGAACAGAGTCAGCTGGAACTGCGGGCAAGTTGTGGGCAGTGTGCAAACAGAATGTGTGCCCAGGGGCAGATGTTTATTTGTGTTGTTTTCTTTCTGTCGATTACATAAGGAGTGCAGGTAGCAGAGCGCTATTGAATTTATGCTGCTTGTTTGGGATAATATGGGGTCTTTAAACCATCCGCATGATAAACTATGGTGAGGCCATAAGCAAGTTACAGGGAATTGCTAATAGTAACTTTAGATCCTTATTACTCAGGTTAGAAAAAGCTGTGCCATAAATCATTGCAGCAGTAAGGGAGTGAATGATGACACAGGCAAATCTTTTTAGCCCATAGGAATGCCCTAGAGTAGCTCAACTGGCTCATGAGAAATTGAGCCTGACCATGTACTATTTTGATGACTAAAGCCTTGGCTGCTTAAGTGCATTTACAGTTTCTTAACTACATGGTTTAATTATCCTCATAAATCAGTTCTTTGGACTGTATTTCCAGTAGATATTTCCAACCCATTGGAAATGCCACCAAAAAAACCACTCTTTTCCCTTGTACCCATTGCTAAAGTAAGTTCTGACAACTGTATACTTTTCAATAGTAGAAGTACATTATTTTGAGATTTTATTGTTTTACTTCAGCTACACAGTTCCAAGTAAAAGCACTACAATGCAGCTTTTAGCACAGGAGTTCAACTGATGTTTTCCTCTTTGCTTAGGTGAATGCAGAGCAGAATGATCTGATTTATGTGGGGTGGGGAGCAAGAGGAACAGAACTGCTGCTGTTGAAGTAGAAGACTTAAGTAGAACTTCCAGGGAAAACATGAATAAGAAACTGAGTTTGTCCCTGTCTGCTTGTTAAGAGCTATCCAAATAACACTTTGTGGTGTAGCTGAACCAGGGAAGGCGATGATCAAATGATCTAGAATCTGCTTCCATCACCAAGGGAAAACCAGCTATCTTGGGTTTCTGTATTTTTATTTTTTAACTCTAGAATAGCCACTAATAAGTTGCTGCTGTCCATCATCATCATCCTGGAGCTGGCCATCTTAGGCGGACTGGTCTACTACAAGTTCTTTCGCAGCAGATGAATCTTCATGACTGAGATGAGCTCTTCCTCCATTGGGGAACCAGCTGGGCTGTCTGTTCCCTTTGACTGTCTGAGGACTGAACTGTCTCATGAACTTGTTCAACTGAAACTGTACTGACACTAGAAAGACAGAGAATGGGAGTAAAAAGCAGAGACAGACTTGAATTACTGGTAAGACCAATAAGAAGGTAATAAATATTTTATTGTCTCAATTTGCATATACTTAACTAAATGAATAAATCTTGGTATGTAATAAAGTAGCCACCAACCAGTGGAAAAGCTAGTTTATTTGAAAATTGAGAATTTAACAGTATGTGCCAAGTGTTGACACTCTATCCACTCGAGTGCCTCATCAGAGCTCTGTAATGTCCACAGTACCCAACACTTTGGGTTCTTAAATCCTCACTTGCTCTTCGCTGTCAGATTCATCTGAAGAACTGGGTGTTGGGAGTTCATCAAAAGCGGTGTGTGATCCTTCCCTTGTCTGGCCAAAGCACGTTGCTATCACATCAACTGCCAGACTAGCAGTTGCATTCACTTCCTCTTGAGAAGCTCCAAGCAGTGGATTGACTTCAACCAAGTCTACAGCTGAAAGCATCCCTGCAAGAATGATTTACAGCTTTGTTACTGTGGAAAAGGGTAAAATCTGTAGTAGGGTTTCTTTTGCAGCCTTTCAGTCATTGCAGTAAGTCTGATATTCAAGCTTGTGACCTACTCTACCCCTTAGAGCAGTAAAATTGGCCCTTGAGTGAGGGAGGAGGTTATCATTCTGAAATGCATGTTTGCGAGTTTAATTTGGTTCTTTCTTACATCATCACTACCTCACTCATTCATGCTTTTAGGATTCAGGAAAAAACAAGCTTGATGTTCTATATACACTTAGGAGAAGAATGGGTTTTAATCTTTTTTTCTCCCAGCCCAAAAATTAGGGGATATAGAATAGTCTTACCTGCTATTCACGATTCTGTTGACTGTTGTCTGGGCAGCTTTATTTCCTGGTTGCTTCCCCCCCCCGCTCCCCCCCCTTTTATTGCAAATTACGTACTATTTAAACACGATAAAACCTCCATGGCGTAAGAAGGAAAGCCCTTAATATATTGAGTCAACTGCAGCCTATTTATTAGAAGCTTGATTTGTCAGTCTCAATTCCTAGAATGGAGCTTTGAACTGTTTAAAATCATGTGCATTCATTTTTGTATTCCAGATGCCCACTTTAACATCTCGCCTCATGTATTTAGGTGACAGTATTGTACAAGATGACCAAATGATTTTTTTACATTAGTTATTAATATATTATGTGTTTTATTTCCTTTCGGTAAGGTGAAGTTGATGATGATTAAGCTGCTTCCAACACCCAGGGCACTGCCCAACCCTAGGATTACTACTTCCCTGACTGAAGGCTGAATTGACTTTGTAGGCACCCTGGCTATCACTGCATTTATCTCACTGTCTACTGACACAGGAAAAACATAACCAACATGAATGAGCTCTACAGAGTTTGTCCTGGCCTTGCTTAGTCCAGTACTGCTGATCAACTCCTACCTGTGTCGTGTATTTCCTCTGTGATGTACATGCCTTCTCTGTAAGTTAATCCACCTAGGACAGGAGTCCCAGTTGCTGGAGCCAGTGAGGGATCAAAAGCATCAATGTCAAAACTCAGGTGAATCAGTCTCTGTCTCCTGAGACAGAATAAAACAAGAAAAGGAACCTCAGAACCTTAAATGTTTTCTGTTTTTTACTGTCCAGGCCGGTTAGCAAAGTAGCATCATGCTCCATGATGTTGAAGGTCCCCCCCAGGTCCTTTCCACATCTTGTACATATTTGCAAAAGATTTGTTGTTTTGTGGTTGGTTTTTTTTAAAGTATATTTGGACTCTGAAATATCTGTTAGCTCAGACCCTTCCCCAGTACACACTGGGAAAACAGAAGTTTGCCTTCCTAGTTTCACTGAGCACGCATTCAGGTGTAATTTGGCTAGAGACAAGTACTTCAGTTCTAAGCATTTTATCTGGTATTTGTCCCATTAGTTGGAAAAATGTAGAGAAATGTCTGGTGTAATGCAGTCTTTCTCCTTCTGTACAGAAAGCCAGGGTGAAAGGCTGAAACAGCGATTCGCATGGCACCTAGAATGGAGGAAGCACTAAGCGTGAGGATTTCCTACACTATCAGGATAAATTTTCCTAGCTCATCAGGATAGCTGGGGCACTCCACACTTTTCAAGTCAATAGTTGAAGGCTGCCTCCAAACTCCACCTTGTCAGCCCAGCTGATGAAAAAGTGAGGGATAATTTCAAACCTAAAATGTTAGTTACTGACTACATGAAGTCTGGCAACTGACTATAATAAACTGGACACTGCTTGTCAATTTAAGTGGTAGACTGTGTACTTCCAACTTGGTGCAGATGCTTAGTAGGGAGAAGCAGCTGGATTAGCAACTTGGCAGAGCTGCAGCTAGGAAGGGTGAGCACACCTTTAGATACAACAGTGTGCAGCACAAATACATGGCCCTTGTTCTGCTTACAGGACTTTGTTCTATGCTGTGGAGAGTTTACCCTTTCTAACTCTGATCCTCTCCATGTGCCCCTAGATGAGCAGGATTTGCTCCCTGATCTGGTTCCTTGACTTGACTTAAGGTTTGCAAAGACTTGGGAAATGAACTTAAGTAAGGAAGTGGTTACAGTGAACCTCACAAACTGAACTGAAAGTGGCAGTTGTCATCAGGACAGCACATGTGAGCACAGTCTAGGGAGGAAGTTATCAAATGATTCTCTACCTTGTGTAGAACTACCTCATGCAGTTAGCTGTACTATCAGTTGTATTCAAGTCACTGTCAAGATGCTACAGACCTAATTTTAAAAGTATGATATATAGCCTGGGCTCTGAGTTGATTCAAACATCTTGTCAAACTGCAGCAGAATGCAGAATTCCTCAAGAAAGAGGACAAGCTACATAAAGCAGAGCCACAACTGTAGTGTAACCCATCTCGTAGCTTTTTGCCAAACACCATGAAATGGTTCTAGTTCAAGATGTGGAAACTGAGGACTAAAGTCTGTGCTAAGACCTCACTATTTACTGGACACAGTCACAGTTCTGTTAGGCCACCTTACATCAGGAGTAAGGCCTTACTTTCAGGAAAGTCGATATTCAACAACGGATGATAACAGTAGTTTAAACCCAATAATAGTTTGTTACCTGGCCATAAGTTGTTCAAATGTTCTTTCCATAACTTTCTGAATTCCAAGACGATCAATATCCCTCATGGAAAAATACTGGATGTCATAGTTCTTCAAAATATAGCTGTTAAAATAATAATAATAAAATCATTACTGGCCTAAGCTTAAGCCTAGCAGCCCTTGTGAACAGTGACATGTGGAAAGAAGCTCATGATTTCATCCTGAGCAAAAATCCTTTAACTAAACTTACTATTCAGCAGGATCCACATCCCTCAAACCAATGTACACAATATCAGAAGCTGAAAGGCAGGGCTTTAGCCAGGAAAAGCCAGGAAGTTGTGGTACCTGCAAGCAAAGGTTTAGTATTAGGTTAGTTTAACAACATATAAACCAAAATTGTATTTAATGCTTCCCTCAAAATTTTGTATTTATTTATAACATCCATTCTCTGAACAGAGAAACTTCATCGCTTGAGAGGTTGGCTTCTCGATTCCCTTACATTTGTCGTACCATTTTACCTTAGATCAATGTTAATGGATGAAGATTTTAACTCTTCTACATTTTCCAGTTTAAAGAAGAATAAAAAGTCCAAAGCCACAAGTAGTAGGTAATTAGCAGCAGTGAATGTAAGGGGGAGTGGTAATAAACTAGTTACCCAGATGTAGATACCTTGTACAGTGCATGTAATGGTAATACTATGTAACTTCCAGTACATTGTACTGAAGTGGAAGAATAAAATCAAGGTGCTTCTGTATTTTTAGGAGAATCACCAAAAAGTCATGCAAACTTTGTTACAAAACCAATGTTAAAGATGGACGAAGTCAAAGTGGGAAGTTGGGGACAGGGAATGGGAAGAGCATGACAGGAAGTTGGGCCTCACATCGGGCTACATTATAACTGGTTTTTAGTGTACAGCTGAAGAGAGCAGGTCTAGTACAGTAAATGGAAGACAATGAGGTCTTCAGCTTTGGTATTTAAGTAGTCATGAGATGCAATTACAAGAATCCTTTAGTTAGTACTAGCCACTCATTTTAGGAGTGCTTTAAATTAACTCAGATTTCTCTTCTTCCTCTCCCAGCTCTGAAAATGGCTACAGCCAACACAGCTGTGAAGCATCAAGAAGGCTGTTTCCCTTTTATACTTAATTACTAATTACATTGTAGTTACAACATGCACATTTGGGTTTAAAGGCTAACACACCCATAGCTGTATGTAATTACATTGGGATTAAACAAGCATATACTATAAAAGTATTTGTTACTCTGGGACAATGGCCTGAAAGTTTTCTGCAGTCATGAATTCAGAAAAGGGATAAATGAATTGGAGACCTCTAGGAAAAATAATTGAGGTCTCAGAAATGAAAGTGTATCTGGAAAACCTATCACCATACCGTAAGGTGAGCACAGTCTTAATAATATTGTCAGTATCAATGATTTAGCTGATTTAATCCTGCCATTTTTAATTCTACCTCTTCGTCTTTAAATAAAGAGAATGGAATGCCTTAACTTCCTCTGGTAGGCTCTGTTCTGACTTTGTTGCAATAGAAAAGGAGTTACCCCTAGCAAAGCCAAACAGGCATCAGAAAAAGGTGCAGGCATTCTCTGAGTTTAGTTTGAGTGGTTCCAGGAGCCCTGACACTAATGCTTGGTTTAAGGAAGACCAGCCAAGGGATAATGTTCATCAATATTTTCCTTTAAAACAGAAAAATTAAACATTAAAAAAAAAAACCCTGAAGTGCCACCTCCCCAAGCAGTGTTCCTGTGAAGTAGCCTGAACAAACAAGTAGCAGCTGTCAGCCTGTGAAGAGACTGTGCCAGCAACACCAGGGTTTGTTCTACACTGACCTGGCCAAATACTTTATTTCATTTCATAGCCATAATTGATGTTTCCTCTGTGGGGTCATGGAATTCAACAGAGCATTGACCAAGCTCCATAGCCTTGTATACATGAGGGATTCTGAAAACAGGTGCAATAACCTAAACTGAGGGACTTGAAGCAGCCCTGGAGCATTCCTGGCAGTTGTGCTAATTTAAGTAGTTGCTGCCATGTCAGTTCCTGCTGTTACGCTGTGCCAGGACAGCTGTTTGTAGGTCATGC